AATAATAAACGTGATGGTAACGATAGTGGAATCACTATAGGTAGTGCTGTTTCGTCGGTTGACGTGGCTAATGTAGCTTCTTTGAGTACTTCGAATCAAGACGAAATTGGATGTTTGAGAGTGGAGAACGTAGGCGTCGGTGGCAATAGCTTAAGCCACAGTCATGGCAGTACTGAGAAGGCTAACATTGGGTATCCTAGGTGCAATGAGGAGTCATCTAGGTTTGATGGACATGCTGTTGTGTTGAATATGCAGCATGAGGAATCGAGCATGGAATTGTCCACCTGTCGCACTCCACCATCATTGACTTGTACTACAAGAATCGGGATGAGCACTACCAACAGTGATAAGATAGATGAGGTTAAGAGAATTCCTAGTAAGGAAAGCAATCTTGATCGAGTAAAGTTGGAAACTGTGCATGAGTCGGATGTATGTCATGAGAAGATGACTGCTACTAGTACAGATGCGGCTATTAATGATAATAGCATTGATGATACTCCTGCGAGTAGTAGTGATCGATGGAAGTTGAAAGACACACATCGTCGTCGAAATGATCGTACGTTACGCTCACATACTGCTACCCAAGCTAAGAAGCATAAGAAACAACATGATGCTACTATTATTAAGAAGCGTAAACTTCGTTCTCTTTCGAATGCTATGACTAGCAATGGAAATAGTAGTCATCAGAATCTTAGTAGTGACAGAGATAATAAGGAGACAGAAAGTGTGAGCAGTCCACCTATAGTGACTAGTCGATCAACTTCATCGAACGAGCCTTCTAGTGTTTCGACGTCATCGGACCTCGTCACGAATGATAAGTTGATTGAGGATACACAAGGTTGTGTAACTGTAAGTGTTCCTACTTCGGTTGACTGTCAGTCGAGTGATGATGAGAAGGAAGCGTTTGATGGTAGCAGCCAGTCTACAGTGTTGCATGATAACGATGCTATTGATGTGCACATGTCTTGTGTCTCTGAAAAGGAACATGGAGAACAACAAGTGAGTTTATCGGCTTTGGATTGTGACACTAATGCTGTTCTTTCATGTAGTGAGATGAGTTATACAACAATGGAAGAGTTTCACTTTACGGATGCTAGTGTAGCCAGAAACAACGTGACTTGTCTGACACAACAGGATCATGATGACGTTGATAATAATCTGGATGTCACTGATGTGACAAATGAGTTACCGACGATTACGAATGCTGATCAAACCTCCTCTGTATCAGGAGATGGAGAGATAAATATTGATCCCATGTTGTGCTACTTAAAGTCTTCTGGAGACGAAGAAATGTCAAAATTGGAGATCCCACCCTCGCCTATCATCTATGGGTCAAGAATTTCTGTTGATAAGTTCAGCATCACGGACTTCATTGTATCTGCTGATCGGAGCAAGGTGGTGGATTGACGACTCATCCCCACTGGTAATTCAGCTGCTGTTCAGTTGCAACGTAGAACTTCGTATATATGTACATAAGTTAATGTTGCCATACCACATTAGCACTGAGACGCAAATGTCAAATCAAATTCCATAGTGATAAAGATAGTAGAGGTATTAATGGTAATGAAGAAGACTACGGTTTGAAGAGAATATTCAAGAAGTATAAATCAGTGAGATAAGGTGAGAAAGACAAAGGTAGAGGTGTTGACGAATCCAGAAGATTAGGATTTGAGAGAACACAACGAGTAAATGCACCTGCGCCTTGCAAACGATTTTGAGCCATGTCATTCAAAGTCTCTAGCTATCGGTGACTTTCCTCTCGCCGACCACAACTAGGGAGCCTGCACCTACCAACATGACTCAGTCTACTTGTCAGTGAGTTCATGGACTTCTGCCATGTTTTGATCTGGCCGCCCCTAGCTTTCTTCCACCCTACTACTAAACCGCAAAACAGAGATCGTCGAAGCAGTCGGTGGTTAGGTATTCGTACCATGTACAAACCGCCTCAACTGATGAAGTTGCACTACTTCATCTATTGATCTGCCATCCTTACCTAGCACCCGTTTCCTAACAACAGCACTGCTTACTCGGTTGTCCCACGGTATACGAGCAATCTATGATCGAATAGTAGTAATCTACGAACATCTACTCTGACTGGCCATGTTTCGCATCCATATAGGAGAACGGAGCGAACTGCTTCGCAGCACACCCGTCCTTTGGTTACCGAACGGATATCTCGCCTACGCCATAAGTGATGCAGGGTGGCAAAAGCCAATCAAGCCTTCTGTATCCGAGCTGAGATTTCGTTAGTCACCAGGCCATCAGCACTGATGAGACTCCCCGGATACGTGAAGTGGTCTACACGCTCTACTACTTCACTCCCTATTACTAGTTCAGGTGCCAATGCAACCCAATCTTGAAACAACATTTTGCATTTCGAGGGGGAAAACCGCATCCCGAACATGCTTGTTCCTCATGGTAGTCAGAAGACTGCATTTCGTCAGCGTCTTCACCAAGTAGGACTATGTCATCGGCATATTCTAGATCAGTAAGCGACTTTCCTGGTAGAAGGTTAACCGCCGAAAAATCTGACGAGCCTAATGTTAACTCTAAGAGGATGTCTATGACAAAGCTAAACAAGAATGGAGAGAGTGGACAGCCCTGAAGGACACCGCTTGATGTAGAGAATTCAGATGACGGATCGCCATAATCTCTCACTCGACCAGTGGTGCTCGAGTAGAATGCTTGTAAAGGGTTTAAGTACTTCTTTGGTACACCTTTCAATGACAGACACTGCCACAGAACCTCACGATATACATAGTCAAATGCCGCTTTTAGGTCCAGGAACACGGCTATTGTCGGACGTCTAAATGTGTGTCGTAGTGTGAAGATGTGGTCTATACAACCACGTCCAGGTCGAAAACCAGACTGGTTTTTTCGAGTCTGCCCTTTACGACTTCTAGTTAGACGTTTAAGTATAATGGAGGCTAACAATTTAGAAACTATATTCGTTAGACTTATTTCCCTGTGATTTTCACAAGAAGACTTTTGTCCTTTCTTGTAGATTGGGACAATTAGCGACTGAGACCAGTCATATGGGATTACGTCCAGTTCCCGGATTCTACCTATGATCTCGGTCAGTCTAACTAACTGTTAAAACTGGACCACCACCCTTAAACATCTCAGGGGTAAGCCTGTCAGGACCTGCTGCTCCACCTCCCTTTAGATTTCTTATAGCTTTCTCAACTTCATGTAGACTGGGAGGACTTAAATCGATTTGCCATTCAGGATGACTGTGGATCGTCGGCAACCGAAGTGTGGCTGAGGACAAGCTGAACTGGTCCCTAAGGTGTTAGGGTCGTTGCGCAGGCTTTTTATCAGCCTACGCTTAAGCTGACTTCGTTCTCCATCATGTTCAGAGCCAGGTGGGATGAGTTTTCGGGCATCCATCAGATCGGTGGATGCTACAGAGATCCACGGCTTCATTCTAGCCTTATGGTTAACCTTACTTGCAAATATCACTGCTGTTTTCACAGCCTTATTGATACCATTCCAAGCCTCCTCCGGATGGGAGTCGCCTGTCTTTCTAGTTGTTCCTGAAATATATTCTTCACCCTATTATCATTTAGTAAAACCCCAAGAGGCTTTCTTACGGTGTTTTTCCTACTCCCAGTAAGCTTCAAACAGATGCTCGCACTAGAGCATGGTCTGAATCTAATCAAGTGCGCCTGAATGGGCGATAGCCCTCTATTAAACCCCTCCATTGACGGCTGATGGCAACGTGATCTAGTTGGGTCCAACGTTGAGACGACTTCGGGGGTCGCCAGGTCAAAAGATGTTTTTCCCTATGCTTAAAATTAGTGTTTGCTAGAAATAGGTGTTTATATGAGCATAGTTGCAACAGACGGTCGCCATTATCACTTCTCTGAGCCGCGACACCATAAGATCCACCCAGGTGTCTTTCCTTTTTTCACTCAGTCTACCGACTTAGCATTGAAGTCATCAGCCATTATGACTATATCCGAGTGCTTAACTTTTTGAGGAGACCCGAAAGCTCGTCTGAATTACAGTCAGTGGGAGCGTAGGCAGATATGACGAGGAGGCAACGACGAGTGTCCCTATGTTTACGAGTCCTTACTGTCCCGTTCAGTCGGACAGCGCACAAGCGACTATCTACTGGGATCCAGTCTAGGAAAGCTAGTTCTGCCCTACGACTCAATGCTATACCTACACCAGCGAGACCCCAGGATGCAGCATCAGGGCTATCGGATACACGAAGGGAAAATCGAGTTGCTTCTTCGTACATTTTGGTCGAAAAGGAAACAGCATAGAAGTCTGTGATATTGACAGTTAAGAAGACCGATTGGAAGCAACATTTGAAGTGAGATTGAAAGTCAGGACAACCAATAAGAAACAACATTGGAGTATGTGACATTGATATCTAGGACGACCATAAAATTGACCAGTAATTCTCTTAAGATATTGGATGAATATCGTAACATTGATACACAAAACTTTTTTCAAGTAACGCCGGAGAACCCGTATTAATCGAATATTTACGCAATAACTTTTAAAGGTAGATCTTTTATCCAAAGTAAAATTGATAGCAATTCAATTTGCGTCAAATATTTTAAGATAGTTCTATAAGGCTCATAAGAAACTAGTTAGAAAAACACAGTACTTAACAAGATTCCTATTTTCTCGAGCAAATTGATGAACATGTCTTGCTGAATATTTCATGAAATAGTTTAACAACCTGCAGCTGTTTGGTATCCAACAGTAATCTAGATCAGTCACTAACACCGGTCTTTTAATTATTTAAAAAGCTGAGCGGAATCTAGTAAACAGCTAGACTCGTCCCAGAAGTCAGTAAGGACAAGTGAGAATCAAATAAGCAATCAGAGTAGCTCAAAGGTACTGACTAGCACTTTTCTATAAATAATTCTTGTGGTAATCACTAGCACTAAACATTTCGCAACTTGCAACAATCAGCCTTTACAAGAGACTTGGCTGATATATCTACCTAACCGAAGTTCCCTTATGTCTCCATTTATTTTAAAGGTTTGATGCTACTCTAAGAGAACTTGCATCTCTTGTTAAACAAGTTAATCCAGAATCTCGTAAACGTGGAACGTTGTTTGATTTCGCTTTGGTCTTTCCGGATCACCGATCGCCAGTGTACAGGATGCGCGAACTGGGTACAGTTTGCTCTGGTTCTCCTTCAGATACAGATCGTATCATGTTAAAAGTATGAGTGGTTGAATTTTTTTGATAGAATAATAAATAGGTCAGGTCGTCTGGAGTTTTCTCGTTACTGACAAAGCATTATTAGCAACATAAATGTATCTAAGACTTCGGAAACCAAAGTCACAGAGTTTATTTCCTCTACAGATACATTAAATAAACGTCTTAGTTTTATACTTTGGGATTGGCGACATTCATTCATACGTAGGGAATCTTGTAGATTTTGTTGCTTTTACGATTGGTGTTTTTTCCTACTGTATTTTAATGTTTTAATTACTATTTACTCATACTATAGTTAGCCTCCAAGTCATAAAACTGATTCCTATTTGTCGTTTCTCAGTTGTAGTCTTTAGTGAGAGGATTATGCCTTTTTGTGACACTGACCATTCAAGCTCAGTTGCATCTGAATAGTTACAATAAATTTTAAAGAGTATTAATTGACTATACTTTCTAGTTCTATTTTCTAGTGGGATAAAATTTGGGAAATAGTGTCCATGTCAACAAACCAGTTTTGACTCTGAATCGGATCAAACAGTTACGGAACTAGGCCTATTACATATAGTTACTTTAACCAAGTAGCCAGTTAGACCTTGACGTCAGTTCTTTATTTGTAACTTCAACCGAAATTCTCTAAAAGACTGAAAGGGGATTTGGTTTTAGTTTTCTATGGCTCATTGTGGTCAACATAAGTAGTAGGGTAGATTCAGATATAATTTCGTGGATGTGTTCACTGGTTTGCAAGGAGTTATGTATTGACTGTATCACTATGCTTTGTTTTTAACATTACTGAAGATGGAATGTAAACACTCGATTCCAGGTACTTCTAAAGTGATCACGGCCTCCCTGGCCGTGTATGGTTTAAGCACTTGGAATATGAAACCGCAACTGCGTGAATAATGATTAGTATATTTCTTATTTTCACCTTAATATGCTATCTTAAGATAAGTCTTGGTAAGTCCGATATAAGCGCCGGTGCATTTTGTGCATCCTGATGGCTCATTATCTTTACGGAGCACTTTCTGTATGGTAGACGTGTAATGTATTATAGTATGATAAAGGGAGATTGGTTGGTAGTTTCCAATTATTAGATCACAGGTTCTACCACCACTCCAAATATTTGTTTGGCTCATTGGGTTTCACATGAAAAGTTTTACTAGAATGCAAAACACAAGCCTTCTACCTGGTAAACAGGTTCATAATTATCATATTCTCCAATTTGTTTACTTTATTAAATTGCAATATTCTTCTTCTTATAACGTCAACCAAAAGGATGTTCAATTTACGATTGGAGATATGATTGATGTTGCTATCACACCACCTTTAACTACTACAAATATTCCATATGTTAAGAATGATTCATTACTATTAGACTCCGGTCGTCGTTTGTTAAAGCAAAATAATCCTGATATTCGTAATCGTCGTTCACATGAAGAATATCGTGAATGCAATAATAAAAATAATGCTGATCTAGAGCCTTCTAAATATCGTCGACACGTTCACAATGTCAATTCAACTTCTCAAGACAGCAGAAAAGTCTGAGTCTATCAGAGTCAGGAAATGATTAGTCGAGTGATGGAATTTACGGTTATAAAATAAATGGTAATCTGGTTGTTGTATTGATAAACATAATCAATCATTTTTCGTGTTCAATAACTATTGTAAACCATATTTATTCAACTTTCATTGTATATTCATCTCATGACTATCAAATAAATAAATAATCAAACATATGTATATATTTATCATAATCTACTAATTAAAGTGTAACCATTTTAACCATTGTTGTTTTCTGAAGCAAAGATGTTACTTATTTATCTAGAAACAATGTCCGAAGAAACCTCGGAACGATTCCAGAAAGCCTAGCTGACTTCTGCTAGCTTGTACTGTAGCTGAGATATCCGTGTACCAGCGAAAGCATAAGTTTACTGTGACACATGGTCTTGAGGAATAGAGGCATTCGTAAGTTACTAGTAAATTATCATATATGCATTCGAAACGTTGCTAGTATGTTTTCGGATCAATGAAGGGCACCTACCAGTTGGTAAACCTGTATGGGCAAAATACAATCCAGTTGTTTTAGAGGCCGATGATGCAGTGGTGTACCGTTGGAAATTGTACTCAATGGTAGCCGGTTATCAACACTAGATTCGTACACTACTTGTTCACCTGGGATAAGGTAAACCGTAAATTCCCATCTTTACCCGACCATACCTGTTACCTTGACGTGGTGGTCGGGATTGCCTATCGTGATGACCCAACCGAGCTATATTGGCTGCAACATCGGTTACTGTAGGTTCTACCATGCCAGGCAGGTCGATTGGAGAACGGTGAGACTAAAAGCAGCCACTCAAGGTCCGAGAGTCAAGTCGTACTGCTGACCGTAGAGGTGTGACAAAAATAAGGCGTCCCCCTCGGACAACCAGCATCTGCAGCGATGCTGCCTTCTCACAAGGAAGCAATGGACTAGGAAAGATCGACCCTAAAAATGTCACACCCCAAGAAGTTCCGTCTCCGGCGGTAAGGGCTTTTAAACAAGAACAGAGCTAACTCTTTAAACACTACCCATAAAAAGTCCGTGCGTGACCGGCCTCAAGCAGTTGTCCCTTGAGCTCTGTAGTCACGCTCCCAGGTCTCTAAGACCAATTCTAATTTAACTTCCTTCTCAGGTTCCTCAAGAAAATACCCGGGAAGTGACATCTATCCTCCTACTTGTAATAACACAAGAGATCATGTACCTGGAAGCCCTGATGCTGCTTCCCGGGGTCTCGCTGGCCTAGGTATAGCATTGAGTCGTAGGGCAGAACTAGCTTTCCTAGACTGGATCCCAGTAGATAGTCGCTTGTGCGCTGTCCGACTGAACGGGACAGTAAGGACTCGTAAACATAGGGACACTCGTCGTTGCCTCCTCGTCATATCTGCCTACGCTCCCACTGACTGTAATTCAGACGAGCTTTCGGGTCTCCTCAAAAAGTTAAGCACTCGGATATAGTCATAATGGCTGATGACTTCAATGCTAAGTCGGTAGACTGAGTGAAAAAAGGAAAGACACCTGGGTGGATCTTATGGTGTCGCGGCTCAGAGAAGTGATAATGGCGACCGTCTGTTGCAACTATGCTCATATAAACACCTATTTCTAGCAAACACTAATTTTAAGCATAGGGAAAAACATCTTTTGACCTGGCGACCCCCGAAGTCGTCTCAACGTTGGACCCAACTAGATCACGTTGCCATCAGCCGTCAATGGAGGGGTTTAATAGAGGGCTATCGCCCATTCAGGCGCACTTGATTAGATTCAGACCATGCTCTAGTGCGAGCATCTGTTTGAAGCTTACTGGGAGTAGGAAAAACACCGTAAGAAAGCCTCTTGGGGTTTTACTAAATGATAATAGGGTGAAGAATATATTTCAGGAACAACTAGAAAGACAGTTAGGCGACTCCCATCCGGAGGAGGCTTCGAATGGTATCAATAAGGCTGTGGAAACAGCAGTGATATCTGCTAGTAAGGTAAATCATAAGGCTAGAATGAAGCCGTGGATCTCAGTAGCATCTACCGAACTGACAGACGCTCGAAAACTCATCCCGCCTGGCAATGAGTACGATGTGGATCGGAGTCAGTTTCGGCGCAATTATCGAGAACGGTGGTGGGTAGTGATAGTGAGAGAGGTGGAAAAGGCAGCGGGGATAGTCAACAGTAGACAACTATTCAGACTTATCAAGGAAACTGCTATTGGGAACACTGATGTAAGTGAGACTAATTCGGAAAAGGGTGGCTACATCACTCGTTTTCAACCCAGGAGATTGGACCCATGGGCAGAACACTTTAGGGATCAGTTTATCTGGCCTTCAGCCACACTGCGGTTGCCAACAATCTCCAGTCATCCTGAATGGCAAGTCGACGTAAGTCCTTCGAGTCGTTATGAAGTTGAAATAGAGATAGAAAATCTGAAGCAGGGGAGAGCAGCGTATCCTGATAGGTTGACCCCTGAAATTTTTAAGGATGGTGGTCCAGCTTTAACAGTTAGATTCACGGAAATCATAGGTAGAATCTGGGAACTAACCGTAATCCTATCTGATTGGTCCCAATCATTGTTGTCCTAATAATAAGAAAGGAAGAAAGTCTTCTTGTGACAATCACAGGGGAATAAGTCTAACTAATATAGTTTCTGAATTGTTAGCCGTGATTATGCTTAGACGCCTAACTAGAGCTCGTGAAGAGTAGACCAGAGAAAATCAGTCTGGTTTTCGACCTGGACATGGCTGTATAGACCATATATTCACACTACGACCTAGAATATGCCGATGACATCGTTCTATTTGGTGAAGTCGCCGACAAGATGCAGAGTCTTCTGACCACCCTAAGCAACAATGCAACCATGTTCGGAATGCGGTTTCCCCCCTCGAAATGCAAAATGTTTCTTCAAGACTGGGTTGCATCGGCACCTGAACTAGTGATAGGGAGTGAAGAAGTCGAGCCTGTTGATAACTTCACTTACCTGGGGAGTCTGATCAGCGCTAAATCTCAGCATGATTGCAAAGGGCTTGACTGGCTTCCGCCAACTTACGTCACTTATGGCATAGGCGAGATATCCGCTTGCTAACCAGAGGACGAATGTCCTGGGCAGCATTTCGTTTTGTTCTATACGGATGCGTAACATGGCCAGTCAGAGTAGAGGACATTTGTAGGCTATTAGTATTCGATCATAGGTGCTTTCGAAGCAGTGCTATTATATCCTGGGACCATCATGTGAGCAATGCAGTAGTTAGGAATCTAGTACTAGGTAGGGATGGCAGACCAATTGATTAAGCAGTGAAACCCCATCACTTGTGGTGATTGGGGCATGTATTACGTATGCTCAACAAACGACTGCCTCGACGAGCTATGCTTCGTGGTGTAGTAGTAGATTGGAAGATAGCTAGGGGCGGCTAAATCAAAACATGGGAGAAATCCCTAGAGTCACTAACAAGTGGATTTAGTCATGTTGGTAGATGAGGGCTATCTGTTTGGAGTCCGCGAGACGAAGGACACCGATTGTTAGAGACATTGAACGACATGGCTAAAAATCGTTTGCAATGGCGCGGGTGGATTCACTTATTGTGTTATCTCAAATTCCAACCTGAATCCCTTATCATCTCTATCTTTCTCTTTCTATATTTATCTCACTGAATTATACTTCTTGAATTATATCTTTGCACCCTAATCCTCTCCATAACTACCAATACTTCAACTATCTCTACCGCTATTCAGTCAGTCAGTTGCAACGTAGAACTTCGTACGTAAGTACATCAGTTCATGTCGCCATACCACATCAGCACAGAGATATAATTGTCAATTCAAATCCAATAGTAGAAGAGGTAGTAAAGGTATTAGAAGTAATCGTAGACGTTAGAATTACAAGATACTATTCAAGAAGTATGATTCAATGAGATAAGTTTAGAAAGTAAAAGCTAGAGGTGTTGAAGAACCTAGAAGATCAGGATTTGAGAGAACGCAAAGAATAAATGCACTGGCGCCATTGCGAACGATTTTGAGCCATGTCATTCAAGATCTCTAGCCATCGATTATCTCGCGGACCCCAACCAGGTAGTCGACAATTACCAACATGGCTAAGTCCACTCGTCAATGACTTCATGGACTTATGCCATGTTTTGGTTTGGCCGCCCCTAGCTTTCTTCCAACCTATTCCTACACCACAAAACAAAGCTCGACGAGGCAGTCGGTGGTTAGGCATACGCAACACGTGTCCCAACCACCTCAACTGATGAAGTTTCACCACTTCATTTATTGATCTGCCATTCTTACCTAGTACCCGTTTCCTAATAACAGCGTTGCTAACTCGAGTGTCCCACGATATACGAGCAATGGTTCGAAGACACCTATGATCGAAAACCAATAACCGACGAGTATCTTCTACTCTCATTGGCCATGTTTCACAGCCATAAAGTAAGACGGAGCGAACCACTGCGCAGTACACTCGTCCTTTAGTCAGCAAATGGATATCTCGCCTACTCCATAAGTGACGCAGGTTGGCAAAAGACAATCGAGCCTTCTGTATCCGTGCTGTGATTTCGTCAGTCACTAGGCTATCGGCACTGATGAGACTCCCAAGATAAGTGAAGCGGTCTACACGTTCGACTACTTCACTCCCTATCACTAGTTCAGGTGCCGATGCAACCCAGTCTTGAAGCAACATTTTGCATTTCGAGGGGGGAAACCGCATTCCGAACATGGTTGCATTGTTGCTTAGGGTAGTCAGAAGACTCTGCATTTCGTCAGAGTCTTCACCAAGTAGGACAATGTCATCGGCATATTCTAAGTCAATAAGCGAGCCACCCGGTAAAAGGTCTACTCCAGAAAATTCAGACGAGGATAAGGTAATTTCTAGGAGCATGTCTATGATAAAATTAAACAAGAATGGAGAAAGTGGACATCCCTGACGGACACCACTTGAAGTAGAGAATTCCGGTGACAGTTCGCCATAAGCTCTCACTCGACCAGTGGTGTTTGAGTAGAGAGCTTGTATGAGGTTAATGTACTTATTTGGTACACCTTTCAATGACAGACACTGCCACAGAACCTCACGATCCACAGAGTCAAATGCCGCCTTAAGGTCCAAAAAGGCAACTACTGTAGGACGCCTAAATGTGTGTCTGTGTTCCAGGACCTGTCGTAGTGTGAAAATGTGGTCTATACAGCCACGTCCAGGTTGAAAACCAGCCTGGTTTTCTCGAGTCTGCTCTTCACGAGCTTTCGTTAAGCGTCGAAGTATTATTGAG